AGAAAGTCTGTGTGGAAATTGTACCAAACAAGCACTTTCTGCATGCTTGTGAGGACTGGGTTCATCAGCCAGTCTCTCGTTAGACTAGAAAGGATAGTCAGTTAACATCCCTATTGTTTGACTCACCATTGCTGTAACTCCTCTCTCTGGGCTTCACTACCCCATGTGTGACATTGTCTTCCTACTTTAGACCACAAGCTCTTTGATGGATTGTCTCGCTTTTTGTATTCATACCCCAAGTGCTTAATCCAGTGCCTGGCCCATAGTAAGTATTTAATAAATATTTTTTCATTTATTCATTCATTTTCAGGATCAATGTTTAGTCATGTGATCACTGGGTCAAAAGGTATGAACAGTTTAGTCCCTTTCCTCACACAATTCTTCCAGAATGGTTGGACAAATTCACAATCCCCAAAATAGTATGTCAGTGAAGGCTCCTTTTCTTTAAACCTGGTACTAAAATTGGTTTCAAGAATGAATACATTTGGAAAGAACCAATTCTTTTGCATGCTGATTATCTTGATGTTTGCTGCCTGTGCCCATTTTCCCACATCACTAATTATCATGTGACTATAGGGTGGAGGCAATTATCCAGATAACTAGGTCAAAGAATTCTCCTTCCCTTTCCCACTCCCCTCCCCAACATATTGCAATGGAAAGAACACTGGACATGAGGTCAGAAGACCCAGGTAAAAATCTTGGCTCTACCATTTATTGGCTGTGGGATGTTGGGTAACTCAACCTTTTTGAGCATGTTTCTTTTTTTTTCTTCAATTTTATTTATTTTTATTCTGAACTTAAGAAATAAATAAGCATTTCCATAATATAGTAGAATAGAAAAATTTTGAAAAATGGAGCATGTTTCTTAATCTGTAAAATGAATTGAGTATTTATCAAAAATATGGATCATACCTTTCCTGTAGTGCAGCACAGGGGAAAGAATACTGGATTTATATACAGAGAACCTGGGTTCTAATCTCAGCTCTGCTGCTTACTACCTGGGTGACCTTGGACAAGTCACTTCTCTCTAGGCCTCAGTTTCTCCGTATGTAAAAATGAAAAGTTGGGTCTAGATAAGAGCCCAATTGCAGACCTGAGCCAGATTAAAATGTAATACTTAACAAATACTTAACAAAATAAATAAAAATACAATAAACTAGATAACATTACATTTAAAAGGTAAGCCAGTATGTGGCCAGGGATCCTTATGTATAAATTAGTGGCCCCTGTTTCTATTTAAAACTATTCTAGATGACCTCTATCATCTCTCACACCTCCAAATCTGCAATTCTGGGGTCATAGGCTCCTGTCTATCTCGGGGTGTTTTCTTTTTTCCAGAATCAAAGAAAACAGTTAATGTATATCAATGTACTTTGTAAACTTTAAAGGGTTCTATAAATTTCTGTATACAGCTATAATGTCATCAGTATAGGTACCTCCTGGGATGAAACTCCCTCCACCATTGCAAATGGACAGTTCACCTGTAATTTATACTCAAAGATCTGACCGGGGACATTGAAAGGTGCAGTAATTAGCTCATGGTCATATAGTTAGTATGTGCCAAAGGTAGGGATTTCTTGACTCCAATCCACTATGTCATGTTTCTTCTCATAGTTTTTATTAGCATTATTAATAAAATAATATTTATTTGTCTTAGTCATCCAGATTGTCTGCTTCGATTCAACATACAATTCTCTAAGTCATTTGACTCTTCAGACGTAGATTTTTAATGTTAGAACAATAGAGGTAGAAAGAATCTGAGTCAACTCCCTTTTCTCATTTTTACAGATGAGGCAACCAATGCCCAAGGAAGTTGTGATCTGTCCAAGGCCACATAGCTTTAGAAAGCACTAAGCCTGGAGTCAGGAAGACCTGAGTTAAAATCTTGCCCCAGACGCTAGCTGGGTGACCCTTGGGTAAACCATTTAACTTCTGTCTCAATTTTCTCATCTGTAAAATGGGGGTGATAATAATAGCACTTACCACCCAGGGTTGTTTTGAGGATCAAATGAGATATTTTCGAAGTGTTTTGCAAACCTTAAAGCACTATATAAATACTAGCTATAATAATAATTATTAAAATGATTAGTTAGTGGCAGAAACGGAACTAGGTCTTCCAGTTTCACCTAGCACTTTTTCTCCAGCCATATTTAATTCCTGAAAAATGTTTGACTTCTGCTTTGTACCTTACATGACTTATTTTTACATTTTAAATGAGAAAATGCTCCACTGATGACATTCTCTGATGCTTTATTGTGGTGTGGAAAGTAATACTGGAGATTCCAAAGGCCTTGTCACCAGACTGCAAGTTCAGGAAACACCCTCAGGTTTACAGATAAGGAAACTGAGGCAAAGAAAAGTGAAGCTGAAAGAGACCTTAGAAGTTGCCTAATCCATTTCCTCATTTTGTAGCTAAGGTCCAAAGTGACTTGTTCTAGTCACACAGAGAATAAATGATAGAGCTGGATACAAAGCTGGGGCCTTGGACTCTATGTATAGTCTCTGTCAGTACCACCCTGCCAGTAGGAGTTGGAGCCCAGATTGGATTACTTCCAATTTAGGCCTCCAGAGTACAAGACCAGTGTTCTCTCTATCTCTAGCTCTGTCTCTCTGTCTCTGTCTCTGTCTCTCTCTTCCCCCTCTCCCTCCTCTCTCTTTAACCACATCACACTAACCAACATGACTCTTGCATTTGAATACAATATTTTACCAAGAAATTAAAAACCTGTACCTCTTAATTATGTTTGCCCTTTACTATATTGTCACTAACTCCTTTCTCCCTAAAACAGGAGTTGTTTTAGGGTTTATCTACACATTATCAAACATTAGAAATACAGATTTAAAAAAAATCAGGTTTTTTTTCACCATGTAAAACAAATTCATTGTTGTTTAAATTAACAAAGCATTTGGTTTGATTGTGTTAAACAGTTATGTGCAGAAGTAATTTTTCTTTTTGAGGTAAATTAACTAGATTATTGACATTACTTAGAAAAAATTTTAATCTCATTGCTGACAAATGTTATGAGTCAACTGTGTAAGTATTAGGAACTAATTTGGGAATTGACTATGGGATAGGGTTGGATTAGATGACCTGAGGTCTCTTCTAACTATGTACACAGTCAGGCAGCTAAGTGCTCCAGTGGGCAGACCAATAGAGCCTTGGTTAGCTGTAGGACCCTGGGCAAATTACTTAACTCTTGTCTGCCTTAGTGTCCTCATTTGTAAACTGAGGACAATAATAACTCCTAACTCCCAGGGTTGTTGTGAGCATCAAATGAACTTATGTTTATAAAGTGCTTTGTAAACTTTAAAGCTATATAAATGCTAGGCATTATAATAATGTAATTATTACATTGACATAAAATTGACATAATGTCAATCTGTCTGGAGTATTTGCTGTCTGAAGAATAATCTTCCAAAATGAATTGTCCTGTATTTTTACTTTCAGTGGTGGGAAAAAATTTTTTTCCTCTATTACTCCAAATTCTATGTGACAAATGTCTGATGTTACGGTTTGGGGTTTGAGTTAAAGGAACAAGTGAAGAAAGGAAGGGTTGGAATAGGGCCAACTCAAACAAATTTGTGAAGTTGGTGAAGCCTGTCTTATCTTTGGCAGCCTCTTCTTTCTGCCCCTCTTACAATAATAGCTAGCATTTATAGAGTGCACTTTAAAGATTTGTAAAGCACCTTCCATAAACTATTTCATCTAATTCTCCTTCTCCTCACAAAAAACAAACAAACAAAACTCCTGAGGTAGATGCCATAATTGTACTCATTTTACCCATGAGGAAAGTGAAGTTAAGTTACTTGCTAATGGTCACATGGCTAGTGTACAGAGCAAAATTCAAATGTAGGTCTTCCTTATTCCAGGGCCAGTGTTAGTTGCCTTTAATGCTTTTCTACCACTGCATTGGGAGGGCAAACTTGTGAAAGCCAGTACAGAAATAGAAATTATGTGTTAACAGCAGTTCAATTTTTTAAACAAAAATTTCAACATTTTAAATTCAGAGAGTTGGTCAGTATCTTTTTGGAGCTCAGCTGAACTGTGACTTTTTGTTTTACTGACTTGACTAATCAAATCTGTAAAGATGGCCAGATTGGTTTGTCAATGTGGACAGCCTGTTTTATCCTTTAGAGAATTTAGATTGTGCTAGACACATGCTGATAGAATTTAGAAGATGAGAGATTGGACTCAACTTCCTATTTGCAACTGACATCCCAGGCCACTCACAAGCCGTTTCCACGTAGTAAATATTTAACATATCCACAAATCAATGTGTAATATGACCAGTATTCTTGCTTTTATGCACATTGCATTCTGATAAATGCATTTATCCAAGTCTCCAAGTGGAAGCAAGATGTGGATTGAAATACAATGTGTCTCTCTTGTGTTTTTCTCTGTCACTCGATTAAATACAGTTGCAGGCCACAAATACGAATCCTATTTTCAGAAGAAAAACAATTTAATGTAACGTTTTGGCCAACACAACCCTAGAAGACAAAACGATATTTTATATGGAATGTGGAGAGGATCTGTGATTTTATCAGTATGGACAATTCTTGGAATAGGAACACCAGTTTTCATGCAATTGCAGGCTGTGTACTACTTCATAGATAGTTGCTAGATGTACGTAGAGGCTAGGTGACTTGGCCTGGGTCACATAGCTAGTATGTATCAGAATAGGGATTTGAATGTAGGTCCTCCTAATGTCAAGTCCTGCATTCCATCCATGATGCATCAATATTCAACCTCGAAACCATTCAAAGAGACCTTCTTACTAAATGTCTGCTCCTGAATCAGCTGTGTTCACCATGCTGGTCCCCACAGGCTGATTTGAAGCCATATATGGCAGAAAGTTCAATATGAGTCCAATATTCAAACTTCAGTGACACCTTGTACCAAATAAAAAATTTTTAAATAGCAAAGAATAGAATAGTAAAATGAAGCTACTAAAATACTATAATAAGTAATAAATATTTACTTAGTATAAAATGCCAATACAAACCAAGTTTATTATACAGGTACAAAAATGTACACAATAAGAAAGGATGATTTATGATACAATGAAAACTTGAGGGAAGGCACGCTTTTAAAAAAGTTGATTATTCTAGTGGATAAAAATACCAGTACACATTGGGCAGACTGCCTTACATAACCAAAGAGAAACATTTAAAAATGATCAGAAATTTCTGAGGGAAGCACACAGCACAGCATATCATTACATTAGAAAAAAGTATAAAAATTGAATTTCTATAGTATCAAGTTACACTCACGTAGAAATACAGACTTTCAAAATGCAACTGAATAGAAAACATGGCAAATGGATCCATTCTAAATGAGTTCAGAACTAAAATGTTTTACTAACAGTTGATTTTGTGATTTGTCACCATTTTGCAAGTTTTATTTTTAAGCACATGATATTTAAATCTTCTCCCCCCTCCTCCTCCGGAATGAAGTCTTTAGAACATGAGGCTGGTTTTGAGAAAGGTCCAGCAGTGGAAGCCTCTGTCTTTAAAAAACTGAAAATAATTATCACACTGAAAGCTAAGCTTTTCCATCCTCAGTCCCTCCCCTTCCCCCCATCCTAGGTTTTCTCTTCTAATAGATGCACTGAGAAGTAGGAACAAAATCCTGCCAGAGGAATAATTGACTCCCCTGGGAACAGAGAGGTAGTCAATAATTAAGGTCAGTCTTCAGTTTTCTTATTGACATGACTGACCTGTAATATGGGCATTACTCAATACCCTCATTAAAGTATCTGAATATGTAGTACCCACAATCTCTAGAAGATAAAATTGGTAACATTTTGGGTCATATTTTTTTAAATAAACCATTTGGAAAATTTTTAAATTCATTGTAAGTCTTAGCTCACCCTGTTATCCATTTTTGTAAACTCATTGTTTCCTGTTTTTCCTCACGTGAGAGTTCTCTCTCATCAGTGAAATCACAGGTCCAGTCTTTATCCCTACTATTCCATGTTATGCTAGTTTAGTCACTGCCTGTTATAATGGAAGTTCCATCATCCAACAGAACAATCTGTTCCAAGGTTTTGTACATGATGGGCACTTACAATATTATTTGACTGATTGAGTTAGTGCCCAAAAGAGATAGGCTTTGGCCCATTCGTCCAGCAGCATCTAGATCATACCATCTAACTTAGCTAAATATCATGAAGAATTTTTATCCACAGAAATGACAAACACCCCTCAGAAGATGAATCAATTGTGCATGTCATATGTATACATAGTTTTATACACACATATATATACACAAATAAACACATATTTCTAAGTTGTTTCATATCCAGTTAATGGCTTGGTACGATAGAGGAGTTCGTCTTCAATGAAGATGTAAAAACAATCATGGAAAAGAGTTTTTCTTTCATCTTCCTTATCCTAGAAACTAATGCCCCATGTCAAAAATGCAAGAATGAGCTGGAACGGAATTCTGGAAACAAGTTTTGGGGAACAATTCAAGGAGTTACTCTTTCTAGTTCTGCTGGTGTGGCACCTAGAATCATAAACAATTTAATTTTCTACATACATAAAAAGCATACACACTCATAATTTATTGGAGGGGAATACATTGTTGCAATTTTCAAAGACAAGACAGGCTGAAGGAGCCCCAAGTAAGGGACAAGATCCTCCCAGCTCCTATGCTGCCTCCTACCCCCATCCCCATATACATTGGTAGTTTAGATCACAATAACAAATGATGATACAACAGTTATTCATTTAAACTTTTCTAAATAAGCTTGAGTTTCTTATACTGTGTATTAGAAATTTACAAACAGCTGGAAAGAACCAATATAACGCAAATGGAATTCTTTTTTTTTAAAAGAGTTTTTCTTTCTGAAAGTGAATCACTTATCTCCTGGACTTGCTTGGCCAGGTAGAATCATTACACTGAAACTATCATGCCGCTAAGATTTATCAGCCTCTTTCCAATCAGACTGATATAAAGCCTTCATTCCATCCAACCTCTAATAAAAATGAAAACAAAACAAAAAACCCCAGTCCTATCTAATTATTTGTGAAATTTTGTGCTCAATGGAGCTCTATGAGATAGCATTTTAAAACAATGGAGATCTCATAGTTAATATTAACCAACAACAAAAAGGAATAAAAATAAGCAATAGGGTGAAATTTTAAAAATAAGTTACTATTGAAATATTGCATTTAATATAGCCATTTGTCAATTAGGGTCTTCCCTCTTATCATGAACTGTAGAGATACTCTACAAACACCATGGATTTCACAGTTCCTCTGAGAATAAATCAGAGATTATTTCATACTGAAGTTTTATGATAAATGATAAGTGCCAACTGTATACAGCAGGGAGAGAGTTAGAGGCTCTGAAGCTAATTTGGACTAAGAGCTTATGTGTCAGTGGGCAGGACTCATAAAAATTTGAGAAGAAAAATTCCTACTGTCACTTAAGGGAAAGGCACCTTTTAATTATCAATTTCAAATACGGACACATTGTCACTAACATACCATTAGGTAATGTGTGATCTTGTGAGCAAGGTGGGGGCTTGGAGAAAAGCTTCTATTTCAGTCCTGCTACAAACTCCCTGGGAGATTTTGGTCTCCCTGCAGGACATCTGTTGTATTAGCTTATCTACTGTCAAAGGCAAAAAACTGAGGTTGTGGGAGAGAAATAAGTTTTACAAAAAGTCTTTAAGCTAATGCAAGAAAAGGTATGTAAAATTAGTACATAATTATTTCTGGTACTTTTTGTTAGATAATAATGTGTAGCATAAAGAAAAAGACTACTTTTCTCAAATTAAATGTGAAGTTCCTGGTTCTGCCACTTATGAGTCGGATGATGTTAGGCAGGTGCTTTCCCCTCTATGGGTCTTGGTTTCCTCCTCTGTCCAATGAGAATGCAAGACATCTACCTCTGACATTCTGTGAGCAGGTTAGTGACAAGTAGGCCATACAATGGAAGGGACTCTGAAAAAGATGCCTAGAGTACAAAACCTTACAAAGTTTAGAATGGCAAAGATCTTATTTTTTGCCTATATTAAATAAGATCTTATTATCCAAGAATACAAAACCCTCCAACTTATGTGTGATTTATATACAGGGGTAGGGAACCTGTGACCTCGATGCCACATGTGGTCCTGTAGGTCCTCAGGTGTGGCCCTTTGACTGAATCCAAACTTCACAGAACAAATCCCCTTAATAAAAGGATTTGTTCTATAAAATTTGGACTCAGTCAAAAGGTGGCACCCAAGGACCTAGAAGGCCACATGTGGCATCGAGGCCACAGGTTCCCCACCCCTGGAACCAACAGTACTACTTTGGTTTAGCATTCACCACCAAATTGACATGGACTGCAGCCTCCCCCCATTAAAAAAAAAACTCTGTAAATTATCATATAAAACAAAAAAATAAAGAAATAACTGACAATTATATAAGGAATAGAATCTTCTATTTCCCATCTCAGGGATATACTATTATTTGACCTCACCCCACAGGGGGAAAATATGTACATCTATACATCTATATATAGAGAATTCAAGTTCCTTTAAGTCTTTAAAGAAATAATGACAATAGAAGGGAGGATTGTAGGGAATCTGGGTTGAATGATCATTTTAAGTGTGCCTTAATGCCTGAGAAAACATATCACAGAGATGCAAAGGGTCACTGGTGACAAAATTGTACACATCTTTAACCAGAACAGAGATGATAAGAGGATAAATAAATTATCCCTTCTGGATTAAACTATTAATTGTGAGCTAGAATAAAACTCCCAACCTGAGTAATCCCATATGAACCAAGCATATAGTCATGTTGACAGAATCTATCTATTTCCTCATGGGACAAGCAGATTCATACAGAATCTAGAGATTCTGGGTCATAGAGGCTTTTTTTTTTGGTTGTAGAAAAGAACTAGAATTATAGCAGAGCTAACAAATCTGCAACCTTGTGTCACTACACCCCTGCCGTCTAAGTTTTAATGGCAGCAAGCCATTTGATCAGAAGAAAAAAGGTGTCCTTTCCTTCTCCCCACTAATGTATAGCTGATATAATCTCTAAGTACAAATACCTAGAAGCAACATCATGTGCTATTTCATATAGAATAATCATCAGGATTCTCTTTATGTTTTAAAGGCCACTGATTTATCATGGCGTTTAAAAGCTTTTTTACAAAGTCTCCTTTGCTGGAGAGTTAAAATAAACAGAGGAGAAAATACTAGTATCTTGACTCAAGAAGACTTAGAGCAAAAGAAATTCTTGTATTACATAATTCAGTTCTCAACACAACCAGTCCAGAACCCTTTCTGTGATGGTGGGTATGTTACTCTTCCTTCAGAACATTATAATTAGTGAGTTTTTGCCTAACGAGCTGGGCTGGTGATCTGGAGACTCCTACATCTAAATCAGTGCCTGCCTCCTAGCTGCACACAAAAATGAAGCCAATTCACTCATTATTCTGATGTCAGAGATAAAAGTCAGGATATCTGGAGCAAATGGACAGTCATCATTATTGCCATGTGTTTCTTAATACCTTTACAGAAGTGAAATGGCCAGCACTTGAAAGTACTGGAGAACCAAGTCATGGCGCCTTCTTTGAATAAACATCCATGTCTACATTGATATTGGATTTAGTGAGAAGGGAGCGACATAGACTTTTTAAACACCTTAAACCCTTTTGCTGGTCCAGGATATGGAGGAGGGGGAACGTCATATTTTCTAGTCAATGCCACAGCTTGTTCATAAGAAGGCAGTCCTGAGTCCTCCAAGGGAAGAGGTGACTGGGTCAAGGCAGATTCCTCTTGTCTGCTAAAGATAATAGTAGGATGATGTCGACCAGCTCTTATATAGACAGCTGAGGAACTAAACAGAGACACATTAATAGCACCGATTTCATTTTCATGTTGATAATTGACATTGTTGATGACATTTCCAGGTCAGAGTGTGGGTTTTTTTTTTAAAGTTTTTATTGATATCTTCTGGGTTTTTTTTTATATCATCATAGCTATCTCCAGTATTCCTCTCCTTCCCAGAGAGCCATTCCATATAACAAATAGTATTTTTAAAGAGTAAAAAAAATCCAGTACAACCAATTGATAAATTGAAAAAGTCTGAAAACATGTACAATGTGTAACAGCTGTGAACCACCCACTTCCAATCCTTCCATGAAGGTGTGGATTGGGGGTATCCTCTAATATCAATTTGTTTGTTGTATAGTTGTTCAGTGATGTCTGACTCTGCATGACCCCATTTGGAGTTTTCTTGGCAAAGATACTAGTGCGATTTGCTATTTCCCTCTCCAGCTCATTTTACAGATGAGGAAACTGAGGCAAGCAGGTTGAAATGACTTGCCCAGGGCCACACAACTGGTAAGTGTCTGAAGCCAGATTTGGATGCAGGTCCTCCTGACTCCAAATTCAATGCTCTATCCCCTGAGCCACCTAGTTGCCTCTCATATCAAAGCGTGTGTTTTTTATAGTAAAAGATGGAGACAGGAGGTATAATAGATAGAACATTGGATGTAGAGATGGGAACGCTCTGAATTCTAATCCTGCCCCATACATTTATTGGCATGAGCCTGAGCAAGTCCTTTAGCCTCTTTCTGCCTCAGTTTCCTTATCTATAAATAGAATAATACACCTACCTTCCAGCATGTTGTGAGGATAAAATGAGAAAATATTTGTAAAGTGCTTTGCAAACCTTATAGCACTATATAAATGCTAGCTATTATTTTGTTGTTACTATAATCAGAATATTTATTATAAAGAATTAGAGCATTCATGTTATAATTACTCATAATTAGTTGTAATATAATTAGTTATAATATCAACAATATAATTCTTCATGATAATTAGTTATAATAACATAGAACAATTAGTTACAATAACAGTTATTCTATTCTTCTGTGACTTTGGGCAAGTCACTTAATTCTCTGGGCTACAGTTGCCTCATCTATAAAATGAGAATATTGGATTTCAGATGTAAATGTTGATGTTCTCATGAGATGATTTCTAATGTCTCAGCTCTAGCTATACTTTTAATAATTTGATCTTGTCCACTGACCTTTCTCTTTATTCAGTCCCTCTCCAACCATTGTTATCATTCAGTTATCATATCAAGCCAATCCTGGCTTGATGAAAGCTGTTACAGCTCAGATCCCTGGAGCAGCCACTCTGCCTCTGGCTTCTTTCAACTTTATTCAATCTGCAAATTGCTCTCGGACTAATCTCTCTTATATGTCTTTGTAGTATGTAGAGATCTCTTTTCTCTCCCTAATCTTTTCTTCTTCTTTTCAACTCCTGTAGGACTTATAATTTGTATCTTACTATTTTTTGGCCCAAGATTATGATTTCATTAGTATAGGGCACTTTGTTTTTCAGTCATTTTCAGTCATGTCTGATTCTTTGTGACCATATTTAGGGTTTTCTTGGCTAAGATACTGGCATGGTCTGCCATTTTTTTCTCCAGCTCATTTTACAGATGAGGAAACTGAGGTAAACAGGGGTAAGTGACTTGCCCAGGGTCACACAGCTAGTAAGTGTCTTGAGGCTGGATTTGAATTCACAAAGACGAGTCTTCTTGATTCCAAGCCAAGTGCTCTATCTACTGCACCACCTAGCTGTCCAGTATAAGGTACACCCAATGAAAAAACTTCCTCTGCCAATTCAGGTTAATGATTTGCCCAGGGCAACACAGGCAGTATGTGTCAGAGTGGAGATTTAATTTAAAAAAAAAGAAAAGAGAGAAAAAAATAAGGTCTGAAGTAGTCAGGGATGACTTCACTACCATGGAGGGGTTTTGTTTTGTTTTGGTGAGGCAATCAGAGTAAGTGACTTGCCCAGGGTCACACAGCTAGTAAGTGTCAAGTGTTTGGTCTGAGGCTGGATTTGAACTCAGGTCCTCCAGACTCCAAGGCCAGAGATCTATCCACTGCGCCACCTAGCTGCCCCTACCATCCGTTTTAGACTTGACTTTGTATTATTTCATGCATTAGCTTTGTCTAAACCAGAGATTCCCAAACTTATTTGGCCTATCTCCCCCTTTACCAAAAAAAAAAAAAAAAATTACTCAATGCCCCTTGGAAATCTACCTTTTTAAAAAACCCTTTAACAGTTTTTTTAAAAAAAATTTGTGTCATTTCAAAAAAAATTTTTTAAAATGTTTTGAAAAAAAAGACACATCTTAAATTTAATAATTTATCGTAAATTTGTGGTTTTCCCTGCATTGAAATTTTGATGATGAAATATTGTGTCATGTAACCATATAGTATCGTATTGTAAACAAGTCATTACATGCATATTCCTGCTGATGCATGCTGGACTTCCTGACAGTGTGTGGAAGGCTCGCCTGCTAACATGTGCTTGTTAAGACCTGTCAGTGGACTTGACCATTGATGGATTATAACTTGCATTTTGTGTGTTTATTTGAAAAATAATGTAATCACTATGACTTTAACTCTGTTACACAACAGATGAAACATATATAAACGGTTTTTCAAAATTTTCTTATCTTCTCTTTTTTCCTTATGCTTCCATCGCCCCCTTATTTTTATTCAACACCCCCCCTCCCCAATTGCATCCAAGGCTACTACCACCCCACTTGGATTGTTCCAGCACCTCTCCCAAGGGGCAGTATCACCCACCTTGGGAACCTTGGGTCTAAACTCTGAGATCTTTATTTATATCTGCTCCCTATCCCACCCTCTGGTATCTAGCAGAGGGTTCGGCCACTTAAAATGTATTAGATTACTCAATTAACACTTATTGAATGGTCGATATGAAACATAGCCCTGGTGTTTTGAACTATCATCAGCTATTAATATGATTATGGTTATTATTCTCAGTCCTTCTGATGTATACATTTTAAACACACAATTTATAATTTATGATGAGTGATTTGTTGAATGGTGGGGCATGTACTCCCTTCTCAAGCCTCTTCCCAACTGCTTATAAGTAAATTAATTCCATTCAATGATTAGATCATAAGTTCCTTGAGGCAGGGAATGTCTTTTGCCTCTTTTTGTGTCTCCAGTGCTTAGCACAGTGCCTGACACACAGTAGGTACTCAATAAATGTTTGTTGACTGACTGATATATATATATATGTTTATGGACTAATCAATGACCCAACTGTGGTCATTTGAAACTGGATACTGAAAATCCAGAGACAATCTCTAATCCTCACATCAGTTGATGAGGACAATTTCCTCTTAATCAGATCTAATAAGGAAGAAATTCACTGACCTGTGTTTCTTTTCACTTGCCTTTGAAGGATAAGAAGCAAGGGGACATTGTGGAAAGAAATAACAGTGGACACAGAGGGAAACAATTGAAGTCCCAAGCCCTGTTTGACCACTTCCCAGGCAAGTCCTTGACTTCAGTGAGACTCACTTTCTCCACCTGTAACATGGAGATACTACAAGGTGTATCAGACCTACCTCTAGGATACTGTGAAGACTTTGAAAATTGTAAACCATTACCTCATGTCAGCTATTCTTTTTTGGGAAGAATTGATGAATACTGTTGGTAATGGGGAGAGGCAAAGATTGGGTGGGGGTAGGGAAAGGAAGAAGGAGGGAGGGATAGGAAGAGGGAAAAGGAGCAGGAGGAGATGGAGAGGGAGAAAGTCAGTGTAGGGAGCGGGAGAGGAAGAGGGAAACAGGGAGACTGAGACAGAGACAGACAGACAGACAGAGAAGAGAGGCAAAGGCTTGGCTAATTCATAAACTGGCTAATCCTCTCTGGAATAACTGATAATGGACTGTCAGTGAGGCGAGCACAAGTGTGTTCAGAAGGCTCAGCACACACTTCCTCTTCTGTCAGAAATCTGGAATGTCTTGATGATAACTACTCATCCCCTGCTCAATCGAGCTGAACTGTCCTCCATTTGGGAGGGAGACAAGCCCTCTGTTTGCCCATAAGGCTCAGGTATGTCAGATAAGGCAAACAAATAGAACTTCTTTGCCCTAAGCTGCTGGATCAAGCAAGTGACAAGTCCTTATCAAAAACACATTCCAGGTTGTGCTTTAATTACAAGTCATCTTAAAGCAATCTGCCTTTTCATTGTGAGAACAAGGGAGCAATTATATCAGAAAGTCAGCGAATGGCTCCAGTGTTCTGCACAACATCACACATCCATTGTGAGTAGAAGGGCAAAAAAAACCCATTCTAAATATTATTTTCTAGAAACACTAGTATGGGCTTATTTAAATGAATTCATCGTTTTCCCATCTTGAGATAAAGAACATCACATTAGGCACTTTCTCCCCAACACAACTGAGAAATGGAGTGGTCTTAAAGCATCCATTTATCTGGCATGTGTTTATTGCCAAGATGACGTAATAATGCTCTGATTTCAACTTTTTTTTTTTGGGGTGAGGCAATTGGGGTTAAGTGACTTGCCCAAGGTCACACAGCTAGTATGTGTCAAGTGTTTGGTCTGAGGCCAGATTTGAACTCAGGTCCTCCTGACTTCAGGGCCGGTGCTCTATCCACTGCGCCACCTAGCTGCCCCCTGATTTCAACTTTCAAAAAAAAAAAAAGTAGGCATTGAATACCATAGTTTTCCCCAAACTTTTCTGCCAATTAACTTTTCTGGGTTTTTTAAAAAAATCCTTAAACTTTGCCTACATTTAGATTTCAAAGTCAGGGCATACTTTATCTCAAAGCAATCCTCTGCCCTTAATCTTTGCCCCCAGAACCCTACACAAACAGGATTGCAATGAAAGAATGAACAGTGTAACTGGGGACCCAGGAAGGAGTTAAGACTCCAAATTTATATTGGCTGTTACCCATTCACAACAAACCACTGAGAGACAGCTGGGGAACCTCAGCCTGTAGCCTCAAACTGTCGATATCTCCCCAG